TGCACAAATCGAATCCTTCAACTTATGGATACCCGTACCCCGTAGAGCAAAAGGGTATATTAGATTTGTCGGAAAGAATGTAATAGATAGAATCAAGCGTTTTCGACTTTATTAAGTATATATCTTCAGGATCACTAGACGGATCGATCTGGCCATGTCCGTCTGTCCGTATAAACGCTGAGAATTCCATAACGTTTAAGCACGACTACACAGAGAAAATTAAAACGTTCTCAAATCGAGTATTTATACCCGTTACTCTTAGAGTAAAAAGGTATACTAGATTCGTCGGAAAGTATGCAACAAGCAGAAGGAAACGTTTGCGACCCCATAAAGTATATATATTCTTGATCAGGACCACTAGCGGAGCCGATCTAGGCATGTCCGTCTGTCCGTCTGATCGTCTGTCCGTCTGTCCGTATGAACGCTGAGATTTCGAAAAACTACAGGAGCTACAACACTGGGATTAGGTATGCAGATTCCTGAGATTCCTGCGCAGCGCAAGTTTGCTTTAGCAATGTGCCACGCCCACCCTAACGCCCACAAACCGCGCAAAACTGTGGCTGCTACAGTTTTGATGCTAGAATAAAAATTTTAACTGAAATGTATTGTTCTCATCAATACCTATCGCTTGACCCAAAAGAAAGATTGCCCCGCTCTTTTCACGCCCACAATCCGCCCACAAACTTCAAAAATCGTAAGTATGAACGCGGATATCTCAGAAACTATAGAAGATATAAATTTGGGATTTCAGATTTAGATTTCGTAGCCTTGTACGTAGTGCAAGTTTGTTACGCGAAGTTGCCACGCCCACAAACCGCCCAAATCTGTGGTGCCCACAATTTGTATGCTATATACAAAATTTAAACTGAAATGTATTAGTCTTGTTAATACCTATTGATTGATCCAAAAAAAGTTTGCCAAGCCCACTCTTACGCCCATAACGCCTAAATCTGTCTACCGCCCAAATAACCATATATTGAGATCAAACAAAAACACCCCTTAACGAGGTAAAAAGTAGTGGCGAACGCGCCTTTAACAAAAATTTCTGATATCAACAATTGTGACGAAAAATGATATTACACTCGATAAAATAAATAAACTATATTAAATTTATGATTTCGGACCGCAACAGGAAATATGTATTTACCTACACGTACATTTTCTGTTGTAGCGTGCCGAAAACATAAATTTAATATAGTTTATTTATTTTATCGAATGTAATATCATTTTTCGTCACAATTGTTGATATCAGAAATTTTTGTTAAAGGAGCGTTCGCCACTACTTTTTACCTCGTTAAGAGGTGTTTTTGTTCGATATCAGAAGTTTTTTTACACAAGAGTTTAAGTACCCCAATACCATGACTAGGAGTCGTCCCCATGAATATTAAACTTTTTAATAACAAGTTTTATCGCTTCAATTACCTATTTTAATAGCACACGTTTGGAATCTCAGGGGCTGTATAGTTTCAGATTCCAAGAGAAACCTGTCGTTTCATACATTTCCCGCCGAACTAGCGGGTTTTTCCAAAGTGGTAGAACAAATAGATCAAGTTTCCTATTTCGATTAGCTTCATGCAAGTAAAGGACCCTAAAACCATAACAGATTTTCCGTTTGAAAAATCTAATAAGAATATTTTTCATCAACTTGGTTTTATTCTTGTTTATTCCAATAAGTATGAAATATTTCGTATACAGAGCTGAAACGAGTTGCACTTTTTATCGCTTAATATCTTCCAAACGGTAATTTTTTGGGCAAAAAGTGTTATACATCAAAAGTTGAGGAATCTCAAGGGCTATATGATTTTAAATTTAAAAAGAAATCGTTCGACTCAATTTTGAGAAAATAGTCAAAAAGTGGATTTATAAAATAACTTTTTGTCATAACTCGAAATCTATTATACTCAGACAATTTTACTATATATAACTAGCGGGTTTTTCCAAAAGTCGTAGAACAAACGTTTTCTATTTCAAGCTACTTTATACACCTATAGGGTTTCCAAAACCCTAAAACTAAGATGGGATGCAACAAACCCACAAACAAAGGGACAAGGGCGAGGCCAGGGTGGAACGTTCGTCTGCACGAGACGTAAAGCGAAGATAATTGCTAGGCAGCTTCCTGGCGTTAGCCTTGACTGCCATCGCGAACTGGGCGAAACCTCAGTGGGACCGTCCGGGCAAAAGGCGAGGGACAACAGGAGCATCTCGAGCTATAGGACGGAGCACGGGGTCAGCGATCACCCAGTCAACGCGTCGACGAGCCAAGATAACCATCATCAGTAGCCACTAAAGTCAGCGCGTGGCGATTTTGAGGCTAACAGAGCCACCCACCCGCTGCAATAAGTCAACCCAAATAAACCCACTGTAAACCTTTTAATTCTGTATCCCGTCATATATATTTATTGAGCTATTGATCAGGATCACTAGGATACAGCGTCCTTACGGAAAGACGGACTAGATAGACTCGGCTAGTGATGGTGATCAAGAATATATATGTATACCATATAAGGTCGGAGGCGCTTCCCTCTACCTGTTACATACTTTCCCCAAGTACAAATACCCTCGAGGTCAAGGTGCTGAAAGATAGCAATCTAGAATAGTATGGTTGGAGCGTTATCCTTCCGAAAGCTTTCTTTCCAGTTCGATATACCGTTCCTTAGCGTGCTAACGGAAGCAAGTGGGTGGGGCAGGAAGCATATGGATTCAGCGCTGTCGACGGCTGTGGGGAAGTAAATTAATTATTTATTTAAATGTTTCCTGACTCGGGAGCTGCGTCACCGCGGACCTCCCTTCTCTTCGGCCGTTTCGTGCCATCCCGCCCAAGAAATCTTAAAAACTTAAATGTTGGAAAATCTCGGTATTCCGCACGCACTTTTCGTTTCCTCTAACTCAAAACAATCAGCACTAATTGGAATTTTAACAGTTCATAAAAAAGCTTCGCACATCTGCACAAATGTAAGCCCGGGTGCAGGCGGCGTTGTTGACCCAAAAAGCGATAGATGCTCTAGGGATGGCATAGCCAAAGCGTTAGGCAGAGCAAAAAGGGTAAGCTCTTTTACTCAAATGGGCTAGTACTTAATTAGTAAAATAATTCCATCAAACATCTACTTCAAATACTCTCTGTGATTTAAAGACATATTTGTTCGAAGGCGACCCCTTTCGTTCCGCCACTGGGCTAAAGCATCGACCTCTGTTAAGGTAGCAAATTGTAATATGGTTTGGGACGGGGTGTGGTTCTGATGAAGTACTTATTGCAGCTACAGGGTTGTATAAATATACATACGGGAGCACATAAAAAACTGTCGGAATGGGTTCCATTTCACATTCGAACGGCGTTCTCCCTGTGATCCATTTATCGCTATTCGTCCGCTCTTTAGGATAACACCAATTTCACACTACTAATTATAGTTTTTTAGCAAGCCTTACCCAACCCCCGCCACTATTCGTAATTATGCGAAGTGAGTTTTGCTACTCAACTCTTCTGGGAAATGTAACACAAAAACAAGAGCGAACGCTCTAGTCGACGTCCTCGACTATTTGATACCCGTTACTCAGCTAAGGGGAGTGCGAGGGAGATGGAGGTTTGCATGTAGCAAAGCGAATGCTCCCAATATTGTACACCCGAAATATTCTTTACATTTTTACTAGCCTTACATCTTAAAAAATGTGGCCACTAGACAGGTTAGCGTCAGTGCTATGGGCGTCAAAATAAACTTGCGCTGTCTTAGAACCTTAAAAATCTGCATGAAACTTTGGGCAACTTTCTAGCTTTTATAGTTTCCGAGATCACAGCGTTCATACGGACAGACGGACATGGCTAGATCGACTTGTCTCGTAATCCTGATCAAGAATATATATATATAGTTTATAGGGTCGGAAACGCTTCCTTCTACCTATTATATACATTCCGGCGAATCTAATATACTCGTATCCTTTTATTCTTCGAGTAACGGGTATAATTACACCAACTAAGTGCTGCTTGGATGCGGTGTTGTTTGGTTGTAATTGCTTCAGTTCTTGCTGCTGCAACAGTTTTTTTTTATTTGTAAGGATTAAGCCTTAAACGAGTACCAAAAACGTTTAATGAAATACACTAACTTTTGTAGAAAAATAGGTTACCATTTTAAAACGCGAAATAAAATGGAAAACTATAAGTCTCGCGTTACTTCTCTGCATCCCGTGAAGTAGGTAGGTTTCTAAGATGCCGAAATACTTCCAATTCTAGGAAGCCATGTCGGTAATTTTCCTTTCTCAATACACCGAGTACATCCTTAAGCAGCTGCAAGTTATAACACAATTTACTACAGCAACTTTTTCGGCCAGTTGTAACAGGGAAGGTGCTCATCAGGCACATAACGACCTTTCCCATCCGAAAAACAAGTATGAAAAACTTTTCTATGCAACACAAACCAATTTTGGGCCCACCCGAGTTGCACCAAAAGCCCTTAGGCCCGATAGCGAAATAGAAAAAGTTGGCGGGCATTTTAAATTGAAAATAAGCTGCTGGTCCCAAGAAGTAAAGATTAAGCGCAGAGTTTAAAAGGGCAGAAGGAAAAATGAAAGCCGTAATGAAGGAACGCAAAAAGCGACAGTACACCGCCGTAATAATCGCTTTAATTACAATTAAAACGGGACTGTAATCATTTCACGATGTTGCTGTTGTTTTTACCATGAAGATAAATGGCTCCCATCTATCCAGACACTTCAGCAGACAGACGAGGGTCAGGTGCAAAGCAAGGACAAGCCTCAGGACGAGCGAAAAGGTGTTTTCGAAGGGAAGGCAGTCAAAGTCGTGAAATGCTACTGTAATGCTAATGACGTTTAATCGCTTTTTGGTTGAAGACTGTAGGGAGCTCCTCAATTTGCATAAAGTTGAACCGTTTAGTGGCCGGCCAGTTGAACTTTTCCGACCTTGTGAATTGTGCAAGCGGGCAGACGCCGGCCTACTCAGACCCCTGGACCCAAAAGGAAAAATATAGTCTTTGTTAACACAATGTTACAGGTAAATTTCAGAAATGGGTAATTTTATTTGTCGTTTTTTTGAACTGTTTTGATTTATAAACTACTTCACACACTTTAATAATAGACTATCATACGCTTTACAGTTGTCTTATATGGCACATAATACAGACTTCATTCATGCAACTTATCCGTTATTTGACACGATGCAGCCGGATGGGATATATGCTGCAATGAGAAAATAACATATTTAATTAGATAGGTATTACATGGACAGTTTGGAATCGGTTAAAAGAAAGAAATATATATTTTACTGCTATAGCCTTATATCCTTTGAAAAGCTTACAATTACCAATTTCTATCATGGGCAATAAATCATTTTTAACGACCATTTCGCCTAATTAAAAAGCCTCAGAAAATATTAGCCGTTAAAGTTTATGGCCACACTCGAATAGCTTCAGCCGGACTACAGCCCCTCTGACCAAGAGTGCGGCAAAGTGTAGCAGGCAATTAGGCGCCGCATAAAAACAAGGACTAGGAGCAAATGACACAGAATGAAAAGCAAACATTGTTCTGGAGACAGATGAGAATTGAAAAAGAATGAGCCCGGAAAGTGGGACGAAGTGCAATGGCAAAATTGCACTGAATCGACAGTTTTTAAAAACTTGCCCAAAAAGCGGGATGTGGGATATTGAAACGCACCTGTTTCGGTATAAGCAGCCATTTGACCCTGCTCATCCCATGCAGTAAAAACGGGGAAGGATGTGCTTGAAAGTCTAGTATAGTGGTGTGGAGTTAAGACCTAACCGCTTGACACGTTGTTAACTTTGAGTCTACAACAATGCCGGATGGGAAAAAATTATTCGGGACAGGATAAGGACGGCAGGCGGATGCGAAGGAGCACGGAATAACAGAATACCCTGCTCCTTGTCGTGTGTGTGGTCCTCGCAAAAAGAGACCCGCAGGTCGGAAGCAAGATGAGCTGCCAAAGGACTATGTGGATTTTACGCACTGCTAAATAAGCAATTTGCAAAATGTCGAAACCAATAACATAACAAATGACACAGTGGCTTTTCCACCAGCACCAAGAACAACCACTTTTGTGGTGAGGGACGAACGGGCTGTCAGCTCATTGAAAAGGCAGAAAGTGCAGCTAATGAAATTTAAAGTCAAGGCTTGTGAGGAAAACGAGCGTAAGCTTTTCTAGTTGAACAACCGGCTGGGTTTCTCCTAACGTTGTTCGGAGCTCGACTAAACAGCATAGGAAAGGTTACCCCAGGAAACGACCCAAAAGATATTTTGACTGAACACTAGCTAATCAGGGAGAAGAGTCGAACCTAACCATGATTTTCCACAACAGCGCCAACGGGAAAACTGCAGCTCGCCCAGCCTTTTCACTGCCGGATAAATCATTCTTCGGAGGGGCTTTTACCTTTGTCCACCAGGACAAGCCACTTGTCTAACCAAACAATGCCCCTCGTTCAATGCTGCCATTGCGAAAATCTCATTAATTGGCTGGGAACCGCAGAGCCCAGAACAATAACATGTCGGCGGCATAATGGACAAACTCCTGGCTAAAAGCGCACTTCAAATATTAAAGCCGAGCACCGGGGAGGACACTTCTCTGGGCTGCTCATTTCTGAACCTAGGACAACGTCAACAGACCTGCAAAACATCAAACTGCCAAAGAGAGGGTGGAGATCCACTGGGGCTGGACCAGACTTCGAGGTTGAGGGTTAAACGCAAAAGCGTATAATTTACATACATCACACCTCGAGGGAAGGGTGTTTGGGCCGCGCAGGGGGCGTGTCCATCGCCTGCGGAGGAGGCTGAAAATTAAGATCATCATCATGACAACGGGTGATGGGATGCAGAGTGGGATGAGTACGCCATCGACAGCAGGGCCAGAGTCTGTTTATGAATGTACCGTCGGCAGGGACCAAGGGACTGCAGTGGGGCTGCACGCATAATTGGCGTACGACATCTTGGAAGCAGAGGTATGCGAGCACGGGAGGCGGAGGGTGTGCGATCAGGGGCTAGGGCAGAAGTGCCGGAAATCAACTTAACACAACCGCAAAAGCGCAATCTCCTTTTCGGTCAGCAGCAGCAGACCCTCAATTCTTATTACGGGCTTGCTTTGGTCTGTTGGTATTTCTGGATAATTGGTGTGTCCTATGCGAGGTCTTCGACTCCCAAGCTAGACATTAAGTTGCCGCTTTGGCCCTCACAAATTGACTTAACGACGCTATGGTTCCCTGCGTCTATCCACTGTTGTGGTGTCGTTTTGTTCCCTCTCCGGTGTTACGCATTCGGATTTCCAAGCGGAGTTGTTTTCCTGAGTCTCTTTGCCCGGCACTGCAGTCCGGGGCTTTTAGGAGTTCAAGGTGGTCCCTGCGGTCTCATAATGATGTGGTAATGTGTCTCGCTGACCTTTTTGCATGCAAGACTCCCAGTGCAGCGCCTTCTGGCTCGGTTTGCCAGTGTGGCGCCTTGAAGACTTGTATGGAAAATAATAAATTACTCATGCTCACTAGGAGACGTGTCAATATGCAAAGTGAATATGCGGTGTACAACCCTCAGTGGCGAAATAAGGATATCATCGCTTTGGGGCTTTTGAGGTACATCGAGTCAAGGAACGTGTCCAGCTGCAGGGAATACTGCAAAGCACAGGCTTTAACAATATCCTTAGCCGTAAGCCCTCTTTATCTGACCCAAATTTCCAAAACAATTGCCAAGCCCGAAACACATTATCGAAATTAAATTGGGCTGTTCTCGATGGAACTGATTTAGAGCCATCAAGCCCGGCAGTTCAAATCAAATAAGAACGAGAACAATTGGGAAATGGTTAAATATTAAAAACAGTCAACCACACACAACCACAAAACGGCATCTCGGCTGTTCCGCCCTTTTCTTTTTTGTTAGCTATTAATCAAAGCAAATAGCTACAGGAGAGAACAAATATTTAATTACCACTCAGCCACAACGGCAACAACAAGTATATCCGACAAGGGCTCTTCTGAATTTGCATTGCCTATCGCAGGAAGGATAGCTGGGGCTCTCGGGACAGGGTAGAATTATTGTTAAGCTGTGGCTCGTTTGGTTTTCTTTGCATTTCATTAGGGAAATGCATAAGCAGCGAGCAGTTACCCTCCCACATCGTCCCCTTTTGCTTCCTGCTCTTGATTTTCTCAAGAGACGATGCATACCTGCATGCCCAGTCTGCTGCCACGTGCTTTCAACATGTTTGGCGGTGATTTGTGGGCCTTTGAACATAAGACTTAAACAGCTTATGTATTTGTTACCGTTGAACATTTCGATTGCGTAGATAGACAAACAGCTCTGGCGGATAATGTAATTAGTCAATTTTTACCAGGTTACTTCCCTATTCAGAACTGTAGGTCGCACTATTTAGCGTTAATTATTTACGAAACCCCACATTCATATAAGCAAACTTCTAATCCAAGCTGACAGTTGACATTTGCCACCATTTATTGTATGTATCCTGGGCATATAGAAACATTTTTCGAGGAATTTAAACATAGTATGTGTAGTTAGACATCGGAAATTCAACAAAAATTTTTTGGGCTTTTATTAAATTATTTATTACAAAAAGTTTAAGTCGGTGAAAAACTTTTGAATGTTTTTTTGTAAAAAAAATGTCTAATACGATTTTTATCTCATCAAATTAATGTTGCATAGTTTTGGGCATGAAGTTCTTTTCGGGTTGCACTTTTTATCTCTCAACAACTTGAAGTGGTAATTTTTGTGAAAAAAAACTGTTATATGTATATGTTAGAGTGGGCGTGGCACCCTGCTGAAATAAACTTGCGCTGTAATTTTTTAAATAAAAGGAAAGCATTTGGAAGTTTTTCACCGAAAACTAAAGACTACAATTTCGATTTAATAAACTAATAATTTAAAGCCCAAAACCTAATTTAGTATTTGTGTTTGTCGGGATAGAGAGCTTACTATAATTAATAATTTACAATAACACTGGCTTACAAAAATAATTTTTTTCGAGTTCAGCCCTATTACGACTTTTTCTAGACTAATATGTTCTTCCTGTACACGCTGCATCACTAAAAAAATTCCAAGAAATTGTTCTTTAGATATTCGCTAAAAACATTTTTTTATGTTGCTTGATTATAGTGAAAATATCACTAAATCCAATTATCTAACCATTCGATAGTTTACACAATCTGAAAGTAAATTTATATACCTTATCGAGGACATACATATCATTGTCTCCAGTTAACAGAGCTATTAAACAAAGAAGTTACCAAAATTTTAATTTTCCTGTTTATTTTATAAGATAGCTAGTTTTTTTTAGAGTATTACTACCTTAGGAAAAATTTTATAAATTACAGTACAGTATAGTACAAGTGATACTGCAATTTCTTCCGCTTAATGTATATCTTCCGCATACATAACAAAATTTAATAATCGAGTGCTTTAACTATCATGTAAAAATTGACGTCAGCATCAAAGCAATCCTTTTTTGAGGAAAATGTGAAGTAATGAAATTGAATACTTTTTCGAATCCAGCCACGATTTGCAACCGATATTTTATAATATGTATACTTTATAGGGTCGGAAACGCTGTCTTCTACCGACGAATCTAGAATGATCTTTTACTGTACGGATAACGGGTACAAAAATAGGACAAGCAACACATTTAGGTCCCAATTTGAAAATGACCCAAAAAACTTAAAAATTAAAGAAAAACTAAAATTACAATCTTTATTTTAATTGAACCAAACAAGTTCTGAAAAGTCTTAGTAAAATTTGAAGAGAATAATAATACATTTCGATCGGTGTTTTACTTGCTTTGATAAGTTGATTTTACATATACCAATTGCTTTGCAGGAACTTTTTTTGCAATACTTCTTAAAGTTTATAGCTTGAGAAACACACAGTCGCTTGACTCCCGGCATTTTAAACTTAATTACCAGCTTTTGACATTTTCATTAGCTTGCGAGAAATTTTTCTTTGCACTCAAAACTTTGCAATCAAAGCCATAAAGTAAGACTTGCTCTACGTTCTCGTTGAAAGCGCCGTCAAAAAGACAAATTTCAGCCTAATGATGATAATATTTTGAGAAAAACTTAAACAACAGAAGCGAAGAAAGTTTGCTGCAAGTCCAAAAGGCAATCAAAATTATTAATTTAAAGCGTCGCGTTGCTGCCTGGCCGGGTAAATGCGAAAGGTAAACCCACTATGGAATTTCA